GACTAGACATCAGGAGGCGCAACTTCACGGTCAGGGCGGCTAGGATCTGGAACCAACTTCCAAGTGAAGTGGTGCTGGCTCCTACCCTGGGTGTCTTTAGGAGGAGGTTAGATGAGCACCTTGCTGGGGTTGTTTGACCCCAGTACTTTTCCTGCCATGGCAGAGGGTCAGACTTGATGATCTACTCAGGTCCCTTCTGACCCTACCTACTATGAAACGAGGCTGTATTTAACTGCTGAAGCCCATGATTTTCTGTATCTCATGGGTCAGCCTATATTATACGACCATGGGTTTATTGCCCCAGAACACTCTTTTTGTCCTGCTGCTCTAGTATTTTTCACCTAAATTTAATCCTGGTGCCTATTTAGCAGGGGAAGTGAGAGCTGATCATATTCTGAAGAGTTAAGCCATATAATGTGAACGAGATCTTGTGTTAGCGTCATATGTGGGTGGATCTTTCACTTTAGGCAGTACATGGGAGCATGCACAAAATTGATTTATCCAGCTGGGTCCTCCACTGCCAGTAGTCACAGCATTCAGGTTGAGAATGCTGCACGCACTTGCATGGCCTCCATACTTAGCTGTCAAAGCTGCTGACTGAAAAATGTTGTCACCTTGAGCTCCCTGCTTTGCTGTAATGTCTTTCTGTCTGCAGGGGATTCAGAGGAAGCGCCCATCAGAAGTCCAGAGCGCCCTTCTGAGGCGTCATCTCTTGGAGCTGACCCAGAGTTTCATCATCCCCCTGGTGAGTTCAGGGTGGTCTGTCGGATGGAGGAATGTGGGGGGGATGAACGGGAATGCTGCTGTCCACCCTTCTGTAGTGTCTGAACAGCCATCATGGATTCAGATATGTCACACCAGTGTGCTCTTAAAGGGTCACGTCATTCTTGTAGAGGAACAGATTGTCATAAAATCATCATCATAGAGAAGCTGGGCTGGCAGGGACCTCTAGCGGTCTCTTCTAGTTCAGTCCTCTGCCTGAGGCAGGATTATCCATATCCAAACCATCCTATACAAACCATCATCTAATCTCTTAGTAAAACTACTGCCAAGCCTGTTGCATCTCATATTGTAACACCCAGACCTGCCCCAGGTAAAGCAGGGAGACCGCAGCAGCCAGTGTCCTGCTTTTATAAAAGGTTATTAATATAAACTCAAGAGATCCTAGGCAGAGGCTGTGCCCCTGCTATAGAGGAGGGCAAAAACCCTTCCAATCTGTACCAATTTGACCAGGGGGAAAAATTCCTTCCTGCCCCCATTGCAGCATCAGTCTGCCCCTATGCGGAAGGGCAAGACTCTCAAGCCAGGACTCTGTAGGGTTGATCCCAGCAGGAGCATTGGCATAGCCCAGTCCCTATCCCCAGCCTGGGCTGCAGTGCCTCTGAGGGAGGCTTAAAAACCCCTTGACAGAGAGAGCAAAAAGGGCAGGGGGTAGCAATCAGCACTGCCCAGAAGCCTGGGAAATTCCCATAGCAGAGCACAGACATCGCTACTCCTAGATCATCTCTGCTCAGTGGCTGCCCACCCTCTCCTTGAGCACCTCCAGGGATGGGGAGTCCACGACTTCTCTGTCTGTTCATAGGCAGGTTCTAGGGCAGACCTGTCCAGTCCCAAGAGTTGATGAGTGGCATGGGGCTGGTCTGCAGGCCAGATCCTTCCAAGATTGGCGCCCAAAGTTGGTTTGCAGGTGCGATCAGGGATGCCAGGACAGCCCCATGGTGCGTGGGGCTGCGTCATCCCAAACACGGGATGATCTGTGGACCAGGAAACTTGCTGGTGAGGGATTGGTGGCAGCAATGATTGCTGCAGCTGTGGGAGTAACTAGCACTGCCACTGCTCCCCTGCTGCCATGTTTCCAGCCCTATGGGAAGCCCTGTGGCCCAGATGACGCATCTGTGCAGGCTAGATCCGGCCCATGGGCCAGAGGCTGTGCCCCACTGTTCTAGTGGGTTTGGCCATTACTGCGCCTGGCAAAAAGATCTGTGATCCTGCTCCTAACATCAGGTACCAGGAAAAAAAAAAACCTTTTCCCTTTGTGCAGGTTTTCCTTGCAGTTGGCTTCTTGCACCTACTTGTGGTCTCAGTCAGTGTCCAAGGCAAATGTTTATAGCAGGTGTCGGGAAGCTAGTCCTGTGAAAACTAGGCTAGAGAAATCCCCCTGCCATCATCCTCTCTTGGAAAAATGTGGTTAAGATCGATACATGAGTTTGAGAACTTCAAGTTCCTGAAGGCCCCTGCTGTGGCCCTGAGCTTGTGGTGGGTGCCACCAGGGTGGTAGTGCTTTCTCATTTCCAGCCCCACCATCCTCTCCCATGCTGGAAAGCTGCTGACTCCCAATGCCAGCCTGTCCCATTAGAAACACGGTGATTTCTCAGCCTTCCTTCCCTGGGAGCATGCCAGCAGTGTCTTAGAGTCCTAGTCCCTGGTGTGGATCTCAGCCTGTATTACCCCCAATGCTTCCACTGCAGCCAGTTCTGATGTCCTGGCTATGGATGGGAAACCGGCCAGCAGGAACAACTGCACGTGTGCAGACACACAGTAAAATGAAAAGGGAGTGGAGCGGTACCCAGCGTGCTCTTCTAGCACTGGGAGCACAGTGTGGAAGTGAGTGGCCTTGCAGCAGGCTCCAGTTCTAACTGGTGTTCACTGTTGTTCCACAGGAGCACTACATCGCCAGCCTGATGCCTCTGCAGAGGGCCATCACACCGTGGAAGGTAGGGGCGGTGTGGGCTGCTGGGACTTGATTTCCAGACGTGGGCTGGGAATGGCTGCACACTTGTACTGATCGTTTTCTTTGCGAATGGCCCCAGTGGCCCAAATTGCAACAAACTGCTCATGTATGGGGAAAACAACTCCAGGACCAGACCTGCCGAAATCTTGGTGTCAAGGGGTTAAGATTTACTCCCCCACCAAGCAGGTGGGACTACTATAGGAAGGATGTAGTTGTCTGTGGCCCACCGTGCACAAGGACAGGGTTGTTGTCCCTGGGAAAAGGAGTTTGGATAAACATTGGAAATGGAGGCTTGCTTTCTGCAGTGATTTTTCAGCTCAGCAAGGTTGTTAACAGGTCTGCAGATAGGACTGTCCTAGCAGAACTGCAGGAGATGTATGCTTTTGGGTATTGCTAGCTCTCATGGGTTTTGGATGCATCCTGCATAGACTGCTCCTAGCAAGTCTTAACCCCATGCTGGATGCACCTCCTAGCTGCCTAGTGACATGTTCTCTCTGTTGCGCAGAATCCTCCCCAAATCCGGCCTTTCCGACAGGAAGATTTCATGAAGACCCTTGAGCATGCTGGTCCCCAGCTCACCTGTGTCCTGAAGGGGGACTGGTTAGGTCTCTATCGGTAAGAACATGGGGTCAGTTGCCTTTTTCTCGCAGTGGGGACTGGCTTATAATGCACATACCTGCCAGATCCTGATTCAGATGTGGTGAAAGGAGAGGGCAGCACAAGCACAAGCCTAGTCACTTGGGAAGCTTGACGCCAGGAAGAAATTGGCTAACTAATACTGGCCAAGGGCAGCAGCAGAGCTTATTCCCTGTTACTGATTCAAAAACACTGAAAAGAGTTGGAACTTGGCAGGCTTTCAGCCTGTAAAACCTCCTGCTTTGAGGCCTGTGTTAATTAGTGACTGATAGAACTGAGGAGAAACTTCCCCCATAGGCACACTTACTCCATTACTGCCCACCTGGCTCCTGTCACTGGCAGGACACTACCCTATACAGGCCCTGGGTCTGGTCTAGCATGACAGTTGTTGTGCCTTCACTGCCTAGCCCCAGCCCTGGCGTGACTGTAAGGTGCTACAGGATCTTTAGGAAATGATGGGATGGGAGGGTCCCCCTCACTCTTATAAGAAAATTGAGCTGTGAGCAGAGAGGGAAAGCCTTCACCAGAACTAGGAAGGAGGAGAAAAGGATCTGAAACCTGGTAGTCAATGAGAAGAGAGGCAAGGGAGGCTTGGTGCCAGAGGAGACCCAGAGAGCAGACAGTGGTGGCACTCGTAGATTTGGGTGTGAGGTGGCTGGCATGAAGTTGATTCAGTTTTGAGTTTTCTGCCCTGGAGAAAGGTGAATACTTCCCTGTACAGCTTAGGGGTGACAGTGATGGGCACTGATTTCTGGGCACATAACTAGTAGTAAGATACTAACAAGCAGGAGGGTTTTCAGAGGAAATGATGGGGATTGGATGCAGGCCAGCCCCTTCCAGGAGATCCCATCTGCTGCAGTCCTTAGCTGTGGCATTTTTCCACAGTGTGTTCATTTGTTGATCCACAGCTGGGGTGGGCAGGGGCAGACAGTTGCTGTCCGTCTGTGTCCATTATGATACTGAACCAGGAAGTGTGTAGCCTCCAGGCCCTGTGTTAGAAACACCTTTTTAGTAGGACGTGAGATCAGAATGCAGCAGAGAAACCCCCCTGCCATTTGCCAGGGCCCCGTGTCCTTTCCTCTGTCTCGTCTCAGCTCCATCTCTCCCCTCAGGCGTTTCTTCAAGTCTCCCAACTTCGATGGCTGGTACCGTCAGAGGCACAAGGAGATGACCCAGAAGCTGGAGGCTCTGCACTTGGAGGCCATCTGCGAGGCGGTACGTTCCAGCGGCAAGAACACTTGCTGGGTTTCTAGTGCTTAATACCTGCAGGGAGGGGCTGGCACATCTGGGGCCAGGGCTTTCAGAGGTGCAGTTTTGTTTGTGTCCCTGGGGAGCAACTCTGCCTCCAAGGGAGGAAGGAGGACCCAGGAAATTATAGGCCTGTTAGTTTTACCTCAGTCCTGGGGAAGCTCTTTGAAAAAATTATCCAGGAGCACATCTGCAAGGGGCAAGCAGGGGAGGTTATGCCTAGGGGCAACCAACATGGGTTCATTAGAGGCACATCCTGTCAGACCAACCTGGTGGCCTTCTACGACCAGGTCACCAAATCCTTGGATGCAGGTGTTGCAGTGGACGTAGTCTTTCTGGACTTTAGGAAGGCTTGCAACACTGTCTGTCACCCTATTTTTGTTTTAAAAAAAAAAAAAATTAGGCGGCTGTGGTGTTAATGGCTATGCAGTCAGATGGGTTGCAAACTGGCTAGAGGGCTGCACGCAGAGTGATGGTGGGTGGGTTATTTTCGACCTGGAGGGATGTGGGCAGTGGGGTCCCCCAGGGCTTGGTCCTCGGGCCTGCACTGTACAACATCTTCATCAGCAACGTGGATGAGGGGGTAAAAATCACCCTGCTCAAATTCGCAGGTGACACTAAGATGTGGGCAGAGGTGGGCACGCTATAAGGGAGGGACAGGCTACATCTAGCTCTGTACAGGTTACAGGGGTGGGCAGATGAGAATAGGATGGGTTTCAATACTGAGAAGAGCAAGGTATTGCACCTGGGGAGGAAGAACCAGCAGCAGACCTACAGGCTGGGGAGCTCCCTTCTTGTCAGTGCAGAGGCAGAAAGAGATCTTGGAGTCATTATTGATTCCACGGTCAGTAGGGCTAACCACATCTTGTCATGCATCCACAGATGCATCTCGAGCAGGTCCAAGGAGGTGATCCTCTGCCTCTGTGTGACACTGGTCAGGCCACAGTTGGAGTACTGCATCCAGTTCTGGGCACTGCACTTCAGGAGGGATGTGGACAACATGGAGAGGGTAGAGAGGAGGGCCACCCGCATAATCGGGGGTTAGCGGGGCAGGCCCTATGAAGAGAGGCAGCAGGACCTGAACCTGTTCAGCCTCCACAAGAGAAGGCTGAGAGGGGATCTGGTGACCGTCTATAAACTTACTGGGGGGACCAGTGGGGAACAGGAGAGTCCCTGTTCCCCCGAGCGCTACCAGGAGTAACTAGGAATAACGGCCATAAGTTGATTAAGAGTAAATTCTGGTTGGACATCAGGAAGTGCTACTTCACAGTCAGAGCAGCTAGGGGCTGGAACCAACTTCCAAGGGAAGTGATGTTCGCTTCTACCCTGGGGGTCTTCAGAAGGAGGCTAGACAATCACCTTGCTGGGGTTGTTTGACCCCAGCATTCATTCCTGCCCATGGCAGGGGTCAGACTTGATGATCTGCTCAGGTCCCTTCTGACCCAACTACCAAGCATGGCCATGATGGCATGACTTGGGGGCTTGGATCAGCCCAGCCTTCCCAGCAGCCAGCATACATCCTGTGCTGGCTCCTGTGGGCAGCTGCTGCTCATTTGTTGTAAGACCATAGGAGCTGCCATCGACTGGGGGAGACCCTAGGTTCATCTTGCCCAGTCTCCTGTGTCACACAGCCACAGAGAAGGGAGGCTGGAAGAGAGAGTGACTGGGTCTGACCAGGGTTTTTTCCCCCTTTCCTCTTCCCCTTGCAGCCTCCAGCATGTAAAGCATGGGAAGCTCTGATGCAGAGGCCATGCTGCTCATCCCTGTGCTCCATAGCTCCTGCTGCCCCTTTCCTCCAAGCATGTGTCTAATCCCTTTTTGAATCTGGCTAAACCGTCAGCTTCCACAACATCCCTTGGCAATGAGTTCCACACTTCAGCAAGTTTCCACGCTGTGTGAAAAAAGCTTCCCTTAAACTGTGGCCTGCTCATTGCATGCTGTGACCCGTCGTCTTTGTCTCAGGAAGAGATGGGCAATGATCGATTCCCCAGGGACTTTCTTTTGGCCATTTTGTGCTTTGTGAACCCTTCTCCTGCCCCTCCAGCGTCTCTCCTGCCCTGCTGAGGCCTGGCCTCATGAGTCTCTCCTCCTAGGGAAACCTGTCTATAGTGCTTCTCATCCTCGCTGCCCTTCTTTGGACCTGCTGTAGCTCTTCTGTCTCCTCTTGGAGGTGCAGGGGCCAGAACTGGGCACAGCATCTAAGATGTGGCCACCCCATGGATTTATAAAGGGGCATCGTGATACACTCTGTTTTGTTACAATTCCCTTAATTGTCCCTAAGAAGCAGGCTTTTCAGGCCCTTCCAGAGCCGAGCAAGCCCCAGGTGGGATCTGCCTCCTGTTGCTCGACCCCTTCCTGCCCAAAGCCCCCGCAATGATTCCCTGCAGTGCACGTGTTCAGCTGTGCGGCCTGACGGGACAGTCCCGGTGCCGCTGGCCCCCACCTGAGTGTCTCCTACCTCTGCACTGCCCGGTGCTCCACTGCACAGGGCAGGGCTTCAGGGACACCTGAACTGCCTCCTTAAACACCCCCGCCAGGTAGGGGCACACCCTGAGCAGAGCTTGGCTTAGTGTGTGTGTGTGACGGGACCCTGAGGCAGCCAAGGCCATGAAGGTACAAACTCCCTTCAAGGCAAGATCCTCAATTACAGGACAGCTAAATTGAGATGTTAAAAAAAACAAAACAAAACCCCAAAAAAACCCCCTGACTTCAATAATTAGGGAAAATGCTACCACGGAACTGGGGAAGACGGAGCACAAAATAAACATTTTAAAACATGCTCCTAAGACTCTTCACCCTCCTCCCTGGCCAGTGCTTTCTTCTCTGTTCCTGGCTGGCTCCAGGGACCTTCCCCTGGGGATGTCCCTGTCTCTGCAGCAAACTCCTCGTCCCTGGAGGGTCTTGGCTTTTCTGCTGCCATCTGCTCCACACCTCCAGCCTTTTCACCTGCCAGCCCCACATGGCAGGTCCTTTCTGTCTCCACTTTCTGGGGCTTCATACCAGCTGGCTCGGTGGACTGCAGGCTTCAGGCTGGCTGGCACTCATGTAGGTCTGTGCACACTCCAGCTCCCCAGCTTGTAACTCTTTCCCCAACCCCAGCATCTTAAAAGAGTCAAAGCTCTCCGGATATGGCACTTCCAGCACCATATGAGGTCAGGTTATTAGCTAGGCCCCCTCCAGCCCCTCTGCCTTCCTGCTATTAACCCTTTCCCTTTCAGAACAATCCCCCCCAAAAAACCCCTTTCAATGTGTGCTGTCGGGTGCTGGGCGGGACATAGCTCTGCCAGGGCCTGCACTGTTCTCCTCCCGTGACTTCCCTTCTCTTCCTGCAGAACATCGTGGCGTGGATGAAAGACAAGTCAGAGGTGGAGATTGTGGACCTGGTTCTGAAGCTGCGTGAGAAGCTGGTCAGTTTTTCCTATCTGTTTGGTTTCCAAGTGGAGACCCCTAGATCACGCTTTCCCTTTAGATGAGTGCGCTCCTTCTGGGCTGGAGGGATTGGATGGAGGGCAGAATCCACCAGGACTGGCCATGAGACCCCCTTACATAGGCTGAAGGGACCCTGTTGCTCTCCTCAGCCCCACAAAGGCAGCAGTTCCCAAGGTCTGTAGATCACACCAACGTGAAGTGATAGCATGGGGCTTGCTTAGGTTAACCACACAAGTGGAATGGGGTGTTGGACCCTGTGATATATAGAACAGGTGGCTGACGTGTGGCCCATGGCAGATTGTGTAGGGGACGGGCAGCGCAGTGGGAGATGGAGCAGAAAGCAGAGCAGCAAATTGGGCAAGTAGCACAAAGAAGGAAGCAGAGCAGCAGATCAGGCAAGGGAGGGTCCGGGGCCAATTTGTGGCACATCTGCCAAAAAAGATTGGCCCTCATTAATGGCAACACCCACACAGTGATTACAGTTACAGGTATTTAGAATTGCAGAATCCCAGAGCTGCCGGGAACTGCGGCTGTCAACCCTGGTCCAACCCCTGCCTGAGGCAGGACCAGCCCTGTCCAAACACCATAACAAACTGTTATGTAAACTCGTTTGATCAAAATACTTATAACTGGCTTACTGAGGAAGATCCTAGCTGTCTGGCTTCTGCAGATCAGCTCATGCTAGCCAAGCATCCATCTTTCTTTCCTCTCCTTTATCGGCCTGCATTTCTCATCACATTATATTCTTGAGTTCAGACCTAGCTGAAAACTGTTCTCAGTGGGGGCAGATGACAGTACAAGGAGCAATGGGCTCAAGTTACAGCAAGGGATGTTGAGGTTGGATATTAGGCAAATCTTTCTCACAAAGGAGGGTGGTGAAATGCTGGGACAGGCTCCCCAGAGAGGTGGTGAAGCCAGGGGCTCCCCCTGTCTCATCTCAAACCATGGATTCCTGCAACTGTCGTGCTTGTACCCAACCAAACAACCCATCACCTCTGACTGCATTTCCCGCTTCCTACAGGCCCCCACGGTTACAGACTCTCCCTCCTCTCCTTCCCCCTGCAGGTGAGAGCCAGGTGCCATCACCTCCCTGTGAAGGAGGAAACGCTGCAGCGGGTGGGCCTCTACATTGAGACCATCATCGGCTCCTTGCCTGAGGACCTCCAGACAGTGCTGCACCACCCGTAAGCCCAGGCACCAGGACTCTGCAGGGAGGAAAGGACCCCACTGAGAGCTGTGGGCAGCTGCTGCTAGGCTCGGTAAGCGAGCAGTTTTCAAAAGCCAGCTAGTGCCACTGACCTGGACTCTGCCCGCTACTGCGTGCAGGTTTAAGTGCAGAGTGCGAGGGCTGGGACTGATGGGACCGCACAAGCCTTTATGAGCGCAGCATTTCCTGGCCACTCCTGCTCCCCCCAAGAAGCCAGAGTTGGGGTTTGGGGGGCCTCACAATGCAGCCAGGCCATCTGCATTGCAGCAGGGCCGAGGGAAGGCAGCCAGGCTCCCAGCACCCTTTGCTAGACCGTGTAGACCATACATCTTGCTGACAACGTACCATCCTTGTGATCACGCTACTGCATTATCGCTGTCACCTCCATTGTGCCCGCCGCCCTAGGGACGACCTGCTGCGGACAACGACCCGCCGGACACACCTGCAGTTCCAGCTTCCAGTGAGAGGCAGTGCCAGTCCCCTGCTATGCCTGGTCCATGGCAGCCGGGCTCTTCTGTAGCTGCGTGGACTTGGCCCAGTGTCTTGTGCAGAACTGATGGCCTTGCTGCTGTCAAAAGCAGGACTGAAGGGATGAGGACAGGGGTGAGTGCCTGGAGGAACAGGCTGTGCACTGCCCTTGCACAGCTCAGATCATCCCTCTCCTCTCTGCTCTTCTCACTGCTTCAGGAGCTGCGTTGTGAGACCTTGGCATCCAGCGGCGCTTTGCTGTCGTCTAGTCTGGTGCAGTCACTGGACTGTAGCTTGTCTGTGTAGCGGGGACCTCCAGCCTGGCCCTGGCGGCAGGTGCCCTGGGGTTGTGCTCTGGGGAGGCAGAGGTGAACCCTGCCACCTTTCATGGTGCCCTGTCCATCTCTGCTCTCCATTAGACTGTTTCTGATGTGGGTTGGGGGAGCTGGCAAAGCACAAGCCTGCCTGCCCCCTCCTGGCAGCTTCCCTTCCGAATCGGGACCCGGAGACACTGGAAGAAAGCAGAGCAGGGGCGTGGAGGCAGCTGCTTCTTCCTCTAGCCCTGTGCTCGCCTTCGGTTCTGCGGGGCTGCCCCTTCCACAGCTAGGCCAGGGCAGTGCTGTGTTGAAATGACTCCTGTATAGTAGTAAAGGGTAATTTAAAAAAAAACCTGCCTCCTGTCTTGGGACCTTGCTGGGAAAGGTGGGGTCTGCAGCAGGGATGGCTGGGACAGCCAGGGCTGCAGGTCCCTGGGCAGTTTGGCAGGTGTGCCACCCCCCGCAGTGCCACTGTGATCCCCTTCCCTTGTGCAGTTTGCTGTTCTGTTTTCTACTCCTAGCCCTGTGCTCTCAGCCTGATCTACTGCTCAGCTTTCTGCTCCTTCCTGGGAACAGCCCAGGAAAAATCGCGGTACTCCTGAGTGACAGGCACATGCCTTGCCGCAGCTGCTGTTGAAGAGACTGGAAAGGAAACCAGAGGTCAGGCCCTGTGCCCCATCCATTGGTCCTGGGGGAGGCGGTCTTTGGTTTGTCCCCACCTCTGGAGGAGCAGCCAGCAGCCACGTTACTGGGCCCAAGGCCAGACTGTCTTGGTATTGCCTGCTGCACTGGGCACTCAGGGAGCAGGGGAGACATCAGTTGCTGTCCCCAGCAGAACGCAGACCAGCCTGGGCCATGCCACTGCCCAGCATAGCAGGTCTCAGCTGGAGCAAAGTGTTCGTGTCCCAGTCCTTGAAGCAAAGCTGGTGCATGCACCTCCCAGTTCACCCCAAGACGCAACTGGGTGTTTTGCCTCATGCCCCCAGTGTGCATGGCTCTACCAGCACAGGTGCCAGGCCAGAGGCCCCAGGCATGGGATGAAGACTTGGGGATCAGGCCACACCTGGAGCATGGGCTGTGGTCTATCTCCAAACCTGTCCCTGGGAGTGGCTGGCTGGGCCTGTGGCTCTAGCCTATCCTGCTGGGACCGTAGCAGGGATTTTGCTGCCTGGGAGGGAGAGGAGAGGCACGTGCACTGCTCAACACCCTTTGGGGCCTGTGAGGCAGGCAGGGGCCTCCTGCCCATCTGCCCTGGATGGGGTTGGCTGGGGGGCCTCCAGCCAGGAGGGTGGAACAGGCCCAAAGGCACCTGGTGCCCCCTGCCTGGGACAGGCCCAAGCCCAGCAGTCGTGTGGTACCCAGGCTACCCACAGTGGGTATCTGGCTGTCAGGCAGTGCTGCCCACTGGTCTTGCCATGGCTGTGGCCTCCACAGCCACCTCCACTGAGTTGGGAGTCTGGCTTGGCTGGGGAAGGTGCCTAAGCAGTACCGGGCTGGCCCTGAGCCTGGCGTGGGTGTGCATAGCTCTGCCAGGCATGGCTGGAAGAACTGGCCTGGTGAGATCCTGCTGGCTGTGGGAGGACCAAAGCTGGTGCCTCCCTGTGGTGCACAGCAGTTGGGAGCACCGTGGTGCACACAGATAGGACCCAGGGTCCTTGCTGGAGGGATGAGCAAGACCCCTGCTCGGGGTCACTGCTGTCCCCCTGCACCTGGCCTGGGGGAGCTGAGATGAGCTGGATGCTTCACCTGCCTGCTCCGCAGGACCTTTTCCTCCCTCCACAGGTGTGGGTACAAGCAGGCACAAGGGAGGGGCTGATCTTCCCTCCCAACTTTAGCAGACTTTTTGCTGCCCCTTGTCCAGCCCTGCTCTGGGCTTTCTACCCCCTTGGCCCCCACAGCTCTTGGCACGGTGGGGGGTAGGTATGATCACTATGTTCCAGATGGGAGAAACTGAGGCACATTGTGATGGGCCGGCATCAGAAATGATGCTCAGGGGCAATCAGCATGGATTCATTAGGGGGAGATCATGTCAGACCAACCTGATTGCCTTCTACGATCAGGTCACAAAGGCCATGGATGCAGGTGTCGCGGTGGATGTAGTCTTTCTGGACTTCAGCAAGGCCTTTGACACCGTCTCTCACCCCATCCTAGTTAAAAAACTAGGCGACTGTGGCAT